ATGAGGTTTTTTCTTTGTGTGTGTGTGGACGAGGCCCGAGGTGGGGGACCTTGGCTTAGCATTGAGGAGGAGTTATGGGGCCATGGAGATAGGCTGCCATGCAGCCGAGAGAGGCGAGTGGTGCGACGGTCGCAGGCGGCGATAAAGAGGAGCATAGTGTTGTTGTGACATGGAATTGAAGCAGAACGTGACAGCGACCAAAGGACGTTGGTTGTAGTAATATCGATTCCACTAGATAAGTAAGAACAACACAAAACACAAAGAGTCTACTCCGCCATAATATGCCCCAAAGCAATCATGCAACATGTACATCGTCCCCCACCCCCCAAATTGACCCAGTTATAATGATAGAAATACACAAAGGTATCAAATCCGCGAAAGAAAACTCCAAAAGCGCCGAGCCCGGAACACCGACGCTTATCCGTGTGCGTAGAGAATGCGTAGTTTTGCGTGAAAGGACGATAGAGATGAGGACGAAGCTGGTGGAAAGACATGATCATACGCGTATTTGACCAAGTTCGATCTCGCGCCTCCGCTCTTCTCGGCTGAGGTTGCGCGAGTGACTGCCTCGTCCCTCTGTACTGGACGGACGATTCTCGCTTCGTCCACGGCCATATTGTGTCCATTGTTCGCTGAGACTATCGGGTCTGCTGTCTGACCGGTCGCGGCCCCAATCGCCATGTGTTTGTGCGGGCGTGCCCACCAACTCCTGACTGCGCTGCTGCCTTGCCTGTAGATCCCTGTCTTCTGGCAGGTCTATCCTGAAGGTGGTGTTTATGTCAGGACTCGGTCGTGGGTCTCCTGATTTGAGGAGGAGAGCCATTTGCTGGTTCACGCGGTCGTCTTCGGAGTAGAGGGCGGCGGGTGGCTGCGAGGGCGAGCGCATGGCGGTGGGGTACATGTTTGGGATGAAGTTGTTGTAGTAGTTTTGGTCGGACCAGAGGTTCTGGCGTGTGTCGGTCTGTCGCTTGGACTTGACTATGCGGCGGTATGTCCAGAGGAGGAGAGAGCTGTAGAGGATTGTTCCGGCGGCGCTGATGACGGTGCCGCTTATGGCGGCATTTCCCCAGTGGTAGTTGGGCGAGGAGACGAAGTTGTAGGCTATCGAGATAAGGCCGAGTGCGGAGGATGTGAGCGCAGGTCTACACATATGGTTAGTATTCCGCTGTTGGTGGAGGCATGGAGGCCTTACAGGAAGACGCCGTCGGCTTGGAAGCGCTCATTGCGACAGGCGAAGCAGAGCAGTGCTGTGAATGAGTAGCCGGCTGTAAGGAGCGCGACAACAAAGACAGATAGGACTGCTCGGCTGAACTTGAGCTCGTAGTCTTTTCTGTAGAGGCCGGGCAGTATGAGGTAGCTTCGAGGCGTTAGCATGCCTTCGTCTGAGACGCATCGCAAGCACTCACCCTCCGAGTATCATCCATGACGCAGCCAGGGCTATAAGGCGCCAGTACCACGGCGTGCCCTCTCTCTTCTCATGGCCCGACTCGCTGATGTTGTGATAGCTCTTGTTGCTAGAGCGCATTGAGTCGGTGGTTCGCGCCTTGGGCGGCGGGGTGCCTGGTTCGCGTCTCGGGTAGTGCCTGGCGTCTCTGCTATGACTCTCGCGCAGTGGGAGCGAGCAAGCAAGAAGACGTCGGCATGCAGAGCAGAAGAGCGCGAACGATGGATAAACGAGTGACTGTGGCAAACGTCGGGTCTAGTTATTGTCGAATTCCAGAATGCGATATGAGCCTCACTGGCGCCTGGCTCTCTGCTATTCAGCCTGACGCGGTGCAGATCGCTTCGGTCCGTCAAGTGCAGGTGGATAGCCGGGGCGAGGCGGCAGGTGCACGGCGCAATGGTTCCAGCTGGTGGGAAAAACAACAACGAGCGACCAGGACAAGATGCCGTTCGTTCTTATTGAATAGCAACAAGAGCAGAGCAGTAGCGAGCGAAGACGTGGGCTGAACGGGCGGTGGGAGAAGAGGGCGCCAACGTGCTCGTACTTCGCTGAGGCGGAGGACGCCTGCATGCCCGCTCAGCCACTCGACGTCCTGCTGAGCATTGCTGCACCCCTGCCGACATGCCCCCCGTAGATCAAGATGGCAGTGAGCATCTTCAATGCAGTGCATTTGACATCGCAATAAAGACTTGCTTGTAGATCAGCGACTGGGCCTCTCGTCGCGACCATCGCGACTTCTTCCGACGCTCCAACAACACCATGAATCAAGGCATCCAGCCCGCGACTCCGCTTCTCTTTGTCTCTCCCGCCTGCCCAGGGCGACCCCAGATTCCAGAACGCGTCACCTCCAATTCCCAGCCAAGCCCTCTGCCCATGTCTGCTCAATCTCGCTGACCCGCGCCGCACCTTGGGTAGTGCAGCTTACTCTATGAGCCACCGCTTCTTCTGTGATTTGCCTGCTTCCATCCTTCACTTTCCCTTCTGTTGCAGCGCTAGCCACTCTGTGCTCTCCGGTAGGGACTGTTGCCGGTCAGACATGACGTCGTCGCTCCTATCGCAATGGGAAATGTTGCGACCTCATCGTTGACCTTTTGTCATGGTGTTGCGAGTTGTTGGCGGTATGAGTCGGGGTCATGGCACGGGCAGTCTGCCTGGGTTGGTGTCTACGCGGTTCCGCCTACAATAGAACAAGTCGAACGGCACAGCGTCAGACTATTGATCTTGCGCAGAAGCGCATCGCGTCTGGACTCTGTTAATTACAGGACGCTCCTTCGCGGATTTGAGATATTCACACACGTCGCGTATAGCAACTTTAGGCCTACAGCCCATTGCATAGCCTCGTGCACGTAGTAACCCAGCGCTACATCGTGGCATAGTACAACATCACACGCCACGAGAATGCTGTTCCACGCCGATAGGTTACGGCATGAGCCGACGGTTCAGCCTCCACGATACCCGGATGATGGTGACGGACATGCGCGAATGGGCGTCAACACTGCCTGTTCTGGCAAACATCTTGTGCGCGCTCCCCTTCCCACATAGGCAGATTTGATACATCTGCATATGTATCTTGCGATAGAGACACACTGCGTCGTTCGCGACTCAGCTTGAATTCATACAATGATGGAGTGTTATCTCGACTACCGTTCTACATAATACAAGTATGCGTATGTGGCAAGATGCGGTATCATTCGCGATGCTGATCCGCGCACCTGGTTCGAGCTGCAGGGGCAGCTTCCAGTGCCTCACATGGGCATGCGTGTCATCGGTAGAACCACACCGCATCTTACCTCACACACTCATCTACTGTAGGTCGTTCCGCGATCTCACTGCCTGAAGATTCGGGATCATTTCGTTCGGGGTCTCCACTAAGAGACCCGTCGGCGCTTCGGGTTTAGGGGTAAGGCATTTGCGTTGATGTCGGATAGTCCGAGGAACATTTGATAAGGATAAGCGGTGATGATTGAAGCAGGCAGCGGGCATCGATCTTGTCGCTGTTGTGATGTTTGCGGGTGTTTGTCACGGTTTGTGAGTGCCGAGGATTTGGGGCTGCTCAGGTGGGAATGCAGGTGCCACCGGTCCGGTTCATGCCCCACCTCCAAGCGGGAACCACGTCTTCTCTTTTATTCGATTTGTTCTACGAAGACTTAGTATGACACAGCGCTGGAGAGGGGACTTGCAACATAGCAATATATAATAATTTATTGTTCATCTATGCATCGATCCACCTACTCAGCCATCTGGTTGATCAATCTTCAGTAGTATAGTGGTCAGTATTTCCGCTTGTCACCTTTCAGGCAACTCGCGGGAGACCGGGGTTCAATTCCCCGCTGGAGAGCTCATTCTTTTTGCTTTTGCATACTACATGCATCACAAGGTCGTGTCCGGGGTCAATCGGCGTGGGAGTCGATTGTGGCCTGCCACTTCCAACCCCCAACCACCACAACTCCCCACCATGCCGGTCACTGCGAATTGACGGCCGCCTTATATATTTTTTAACGTTAACGTTGCTGTCTCAAGATGTTTTCGGAGCTGAGAGTACTTCTGCAGCACACGCGACGCGGAGCGGCAAGCTTCTTTTTGCTGCGCTGTACTGACCAAGGCCACCGCATCTGAGCAGCTCCTTGACGCGATTGTGTCCTTATGTCATCGCGCCGTTGGCGCATCAACCTACACAAATCCTTTCGAATGCTACTATCGTCATGGTCGGACGCGAAGAAACTCTTCTGAGGCCTCGTAGGTCTCGTCAGCTGCATCTGGTCTTCCCATGTGGAGGAACTTCTGGTCACACACCCGGCACGTAGTTCGAAGTGCCGAATTCTCTATGGCATGTCTTCGTTAGCATGCGGTTTCGGGTCCCTCTGGCGCTTGACGAAGTAACAGGAACACAGGCCCGTTCTGGTTCTGGACCAATATGAATCTCACATCCACCGCAGGTGAATCATAGGTACCGGAGCTACACAAGGCGTTGACCATGCCAGACGGAGCCGCACACAAGGTAATGCGGCTTCTGTGAGACTCAGTCATGAAAGTCTAACTCAGAGTTGGATAGTCTCTACGCAGCTACGAGCACAGAAAGACAAGATGTGATTTGAGACACCGCCTTGTCCAAACCTTGCGAATGCGGACAATTCCACCATCCTGCACGTGGTCGTCGCCTTGTCAGTGAAAGCTAATGCCCATCACCGGTTGTTTCATTAACGCATAGTCGGGTCACGATCTAGCTTTCTGTCACTACCTCAAGCACGAGCTCCATTCACGCCTGGTCTGAGCGTTTAGTGGAGTTATACACGCCTGTTCCATATAAACACCCCCTTCTGGTGAGCAACTCTCACTATACCAGCTCTATTCCCTACTTTCGTACAGGCAGATCTAAACAACACATTCAGTCCCACCCCTGCGGCTCAACTGGTCTGTCACACCCAACCCACATTCTTGAACTGCCTGCTCACTGTTTCAGACACCTCTGTTCACAAGCCTTCCCAAACCCGACCATATCCAACCACATAAGAACAACACCGAAAGCTTTCCACCAGTCACGTACGCAGTTAACAAGATGTCTGCTACCAACATCGCCCCTGTTACATCTGATGCCGTCACCGTTGACAGTACTAACACCAACACTCCTGTTGATGCCAAACAAGAAGCTCTCAAGAAGATAGCTGCGGAGAAAGAGGCCAAGCGCATCGAGAATGTTGCTATACAGAAGAGGAAACTCGAAGCTGCCATGCAAAAGGCGGCGCAAGAGTTGATGTCTAAGGGCAATAGCGCGATCCTCAAGGCCCAGGCTAATCGACCTTCACGACGACCGGCGAAGAAGAACCGAAAACCGCTTCCTCCTGCCAACCGGACTCACGAGATCGAAGCGACTATGGAGAAGACGAAAGCTAGCGCTGAAGAGAAGCGTCTTGCTCCTCTGCGGATAGTACGTCCAAGCTACAGCTACAGCGATATCGTCGAGCAGCGTGTTGTCGACGGCGTCGTTGAGCGCATTATTCATACCAGCCATTCTGTGCATGAGTCTTGTGCCGTCGACAACCACGACGATAGTATTGAGCAGCGCATGGCTGACAACGTCACTGAACCTAATTTCCAATCCGCTGATGCGCCCAAGACTGCCCAGTCTGATACCGACGTTGAGTCAGATAGGGCCACGGAACCTGATACTGAGTCAGACGAAGACGCTCCTCAGCTAGTCCAAGAGCTTGCTTCTCCTGAGCAGGTCACTGAGCTTCAAGACGAGGATGATTCCACCGAAGCTGTCGCTGTCACCGCACTGCCCCACATCTATGTCACCGCCCCGACAGATGATGCGGATGAGGAGACTCCTATGTCTGGAAATTTTGCTGAGGCAGTCGACAAGTCGCCCGAGCCAATGAAGGAGGCCGCTTCTGAGAAGTCGCCTTGTAGCCCTTCGGCGATTCTGTCGATGCCCAATTCGGCTCTTTATCCTTCGCGCCTGTCCCGCGATGAAGAGGCTAAGTTGGTCGCTATGCACGTCGCGCCCATCGTACTGCCGGTCACTGAAGCCAAGCAGCAGAAGCTTACCAAGGCTGAGAAGAAGGCCGCTAAGACATCTGGGGCATCTAAGGAGGTGGCCACGACAAAGTCCGATGTGGCTCAAAAGCCTCAAGGAACCGACTCTGTTGAGACTACGATGGATATCGTCGAGCCCATTGCCATAACCGAAGACTCCGCATACGTCGCGACACTTCTAGCGAGATTCAATGGCTCTGGTGTGACCACAAAGTCTCGCGACCTTCACGACAGGCTCGTCGCACTTCATGTCGCTCCTCTCTCGCTACCAGTCACTGTACCCAAGCAGCAGAAGACCAACCGCAAAGCTACCAAAGCCAACCTCCAGATGTCTACTCCGGCTGAGAAGAAGAAGTCTGATTTTGTCGCCTCTCTTCTTTCCAAGCCTAACGGCCCAGGTGAGACCGCACAGGCGCGCGACTTCCATGAGAAGCTGGTTGCGCTCCATGTGGCTCCTCTTTCGCTGCCGGTCATCGCGCCCAAGCAGCAAAAGACCTCAAAGACCAGGCAGAAGGCTTCCAAACTTGATAAGAAGAAGTCCGTCGCTACGGAGAAGAAAGAGCCTGACTTTATCGCCTCTCTTCTCTGCAAGCCGAATGGCCCGGGTGAACACAAAGGAACCCGCGACCGTCACAACAACCTCGTTGCTATGCATGTAGCCCCACTCGAACTTTCGGTATCCATCCAACAGGATAAGAATAAGAAAGCCGAGAAGGTCAACAGGTATATTGAGACTTGGACCGCTGACCCTGATGCCGTTGATCCACTGATTGCCAGCATGGTGCCTCCCATTACTGAGGAGTTCATCTCCGCTGTTGAGGACCTGGTCACAGACGATGCAACGCGCGACGAGCCGTCCAAGGTCATTGCGCCTCCCATTCATGGGTTCTGGCAAACTGTTCTCTCCAAACCCACTGCCGACGAAGCCACCACCGTCGAGCAAACCGTCATCATCCCCGACTCATCCTCGGAGTCCGACACCATAGAATCATTCAGAACCTCCAGCCGCACCTCAACGCACTCCACCCCATCCATCCGCCGCGCAGCCTCAAAAGCACGCACAACCCTCCTCGGCGCCACCTCCCTAGAAACCTTCATCACCACCCTCGACTTCGAACTCTGGGACGGCACAACGACCAAAGACGATATCTGCGAGGCCTTCGCTTCCCTATCCGATCACCCCACAACCACAACAACTAGTCTGCATACCGCTAAGATCCAGCGGAAGATCAAGTTAGGCAGTACGTCACTATACGCGTTCCTGCGTCAGATTACGTTCATCGAGGACGACGTGACGGTTGTGGGGGAGGTGATGAGGGTGTTTAGGAAGGCGGCGGGGGGGCAGGTGACGGAGACGAAACTGGAGGTTGCGCTGTGGCTTGCGGAGGAGACGGATGAGGGGGAGGGGAGGAGGCGGGGGAGGCGCGAGGAGCGGGCTTCGGTGGCTGGTAGGGGTTAGGTGCGATGTTGTGTTGGCTTGGAAGCTCGCGATATGGCGTGGGTAGTTTGGCTGCTCCTTTCCTTTTCTCACCAAAAGTTGTGCACGGGTGTTTTTCATTGTCATTGTTATGGGGCAGGTCATCATGGTTTGAACGAGGCGTTGGGGACGACGTTTTCATATTACCATCATCGCTCTATGGTACTAAAAGCTAGTCCTCTGCATCGGTTGAGCTTTAGGCTTTGACTCACCTGGCGACCGGGTTTTGAGTTGGCCTGTCGCTCCCTACTGTGCAGATTGACTTAGTTACCCCAAGGGGCTGATGATCTTTTGGTCGAAGTTAGCATTTGTTCAAGGAAACATAGGTATTAATTCAACTGTAAAAGTTAGCATGCTTGGCGGAAAAGGGGTGAAAGCAGATTGTAATCATGGTAGTTGTAACCTGTTAGTATATTGAGAGATTATTAGACGTGCACATGCATGAGAAAAGAGCTTTGTGTTCATGACTTCATTCATATACATCCAGCAACACTGTTGATGTGTGCGATGCTATATACTGGGTATTTGTACGACTGCCGCAGTGGCTTAGACCTTCTGTTCCACGCGGTGTGTCTGCTGCTCAGCACCACCAGCATTCTCCATCTGGTACTCAACAGCCTTCTCACCCGACTCATCCATAATCTCAGCCATACCGCCAGATCCCTTTGTAAGCTCGGCACCCTTGCGGCCGATAAGGTGCCAAGGTAGGTTGAACATCTCGTCGAGAGATTCGAGCGACTTTCCAGAAGTCTCGGGCAGGAAGAAATATACCCAGACGAGACCGACGGCGGTGACGCAGGAGAAGAACAGCATGGTGCCTCCGTGGGTCATGGAAATAAACATGAGAGGTACAGCCTTGGAGTTACCGTACTGGTTGACAAAGTGGAATGTCATGGCGATGGAACCACCGAGAGCACGGAGACGGAGAGGGTAGATCTCGGAGTTGATGAGGTACTGGATCGAGTTCCATCCGAGGGCCCAACCGAAACCGGAGAAGTAGATCATGACGATGGCGCCCATGGCGGCGTGCTTTTGGCTGGAGCTCTGGGGTACGCCGTCGGCGACACCGGTGTCGATGAGTAGGAAGATGGCCATGTAGAGCATGGATAGGAGTTGGAGTGTGATACCGGTGGCGAGAGAGCGCTTGCGGCCGAGAAAGTCGATGAGGAAGAAAGCGCAGATCATGGAACTGACAAACTTGACGACACCGAAAATGGCTGTGGCGAAGAGCTTCTCTTGTTGACCGCTGGTGCCCATCATCTCAAAGTACTTGGGTGCGTAGCTGGGGGTCGTGTTAGTTGTGTGCGCGAGGCATGGGATCTGAGTGTCAAACTTACATTGTGATGGAATTGGCTCCCGACCATTGCGATAGCAACTGCGACAGGACAGAGAGCTGAAGACGGTAGAGGTTGGCCTTGCTGGAAAACAGCTCACGGATGGGTCCGAGCCAAGATGTACCCATAGTAGCTTCGCGCTCGCGGTTGAGCTGGTCGTTGATGTCCATAATCTCCGAGGTGACGTAAGGGTGGTCAGCGGGAAGGTTGCGGAGTTGTGCGAGGTTGTCGAGCGCCTCCTCGTGGCGGCCGACCTTGATCAACCAACGAGAACTCTCCTTGGCGAACCAAGATAGTGTGAAAATGAGACCGGCGAACATGATGTGCATGCTGTTGGGTACGAGCCATTGAGCATCAGTGGCAGACGAGATGTGGATGGAGGAACCCCAAGATGCGAAGTAGGCAAGCATGATACCAATGTAGACTGATCCAGCGAAAGCGCAGACACAGAGACCACGGATGGCCCTGGGCGCGGTCTCAGCCAAGTATGTGGGAGCAACGACAGTGGTCTGTCCGATGCCGATACCAGCAATGAAGCGGCCGGCGTAGATTTGTCCAACAGAACCAGTGATAGAGCTGGTGAGGAAGATGACGATGCCGATAACCCAGACAATGCAAAGTTGGCGAGTAGCCCAGAGACGACCAATCTTGTCGGTGATGAAGAAGGCAATCAGGGAACCCAAGATGGAACCCATCTGCACCATGGATGTGATGTTCGATAGGAGCTCCGCGATCTCGTGCTCGCTCTTGCTGCCGTCTTCTTCGAGTCCGAACTTGCGTTTGAAGGGGTCGAGTTCGGCTGTAGTACCGATGAGGCCTTCGTCGATACCACGAGCAGCGCCCATGAGACCGAAAACTACGGCGAGTTAGTTGGGTGTTGTCTCAAGAGAGGTGAGACAACCTACCGAAGACACCATACCAGAGACGCCAGTTAAGGCTCTCCTTAGGAGTGTGCTTCAAGTTCTCCTTCCATGGGTTCCAAACGACCATGATGGGCGATATTGGTATAGATAGATCGGAGTAAGGTCGTGATTGAGCTGCGGAACCTACGTCTGTCGGACAGGGAGGAAAGGCAGTGACGACTCAACTGTACAAAGGCGCATGTGCCTCTTATACTTGAACTGATGGTGGGGTACGAGATGCGGAGATCCTAGATGCAAGGCCTGTTTAATCACACCATCCATGAGACCCCAGAGTCAACCCCGGAAGCCTCTACTCCACGTTTGTCCATCGCCAGTAGCGGTCGGCGTCGGTCTTCCGAGCCAGGAATGCCGGATGACCTTCCCAACTGTGGTTTTCCCAACGTTCAATAGGTCGACCCGTCTCGTCGGCCATTGCAGGCGTTGGAACTAACCCTCGCATAGTAAGCGGACCGCTGATCGTCTGATCAATTACCGATCAAGCGGCCACGCCGGTCGCCTCTCGTGTCTCTCACGGCAGCGCCATCTGCACGTAGGTTACATGCCCAGTAAGGAGGCGGAAAGGTTGGCAGGCTTAGGTGGAGAAAGCTTCCTTGTTCGTGCGTCTTGTGGAGCTTGGGGCCGAGCTAAGGACGAGTCAAGAACCTGGCCACCACACGATGGGAACCCCGCATTATCCCCCAAACGCTCTCGTGTCCCGGATTTCTCTTGGTCTCCCACGTTAGCTGTCAGTCGAGGAAGAGAAGCTTGTCAAGCTCCTCGTAGCGGCCGGGGAGGTGCCGTAAATGCATGCCGCGCTATTGGCTGGTACCATCCCGGGAAAATCTCGCACGCGGGATAAATTACTACGCTATTCTGACGCTGCCTCGCGACGAGACCGTTCGCCGGCAGAATTATGACCGAGAGCAGCGTCGGAGCAGGGTATCGGCTTCTGAGGTTAAGCTCCTGGACGAGACCTCGTCTCGCGGCGGTGTGTCGACACAAGCGATGCGGCTCCAACTCCTTCAGCCTTTTCCAGTAGGGCCCGCGTTGTGACTACCCCAAATGGTATCCCGTCCCTCCAATGCATCTGCCGTGGGGACTACACTATCGGACATAGATACGACGCCTGCAGGATATTTTGGTAGAGCTAACAGTGCGCAGGTGTGAAAATGTGTCGCTTCTTCGGTCGCTCTGGCGCTGATACGAGTCCTGGTTGTCGGAGCCTCTGATGGGTCGTAGGACAATGATCCGACTCTTGGCTCTGTACTTGGCTCTGTACTTGGCTCTGTACCCCAAAGTCCAGCAGGAAGGTTGTATTCTGCCGTAGTGGCAGCTGAATCGTTGAACCCACAACGGCAAGCATAACATCTCCAAGCGCTTTGTTGTCTTGACGAAAGCCCAGACCGCCGGGGTTCTTCTCGTCTCCACAGAGCTTTGCATTCGCAGTGCATCTTGTCATGCGATGCGAAGAAACAGACAGGTCTAGAGGTGTGATACGTCCACCACCCCCGGTCGGAGCTCCGAGGGTTATCGGTGCGAACGCAGGCGCTTTGACTTGGGGTCTCCACACACACGAGGTGCGCGTGAGATGGTTAGCGAAGACCAAGCTTGCCATGCCTTCAGCAAGTGCTTGTGGACAGCGCAAGCCGTTGTGCCAAAGGACGCCCAAGTGCTTGTCCTAGACGTTAACAGAGCAACATTTCTGCTACATCGTATCTTTCGTAGGCATCATCGAAGTCATGTCCTCTCCTCTCAAGCGCTGCGATAAATTTGAGAATCATGCGGGCATCCTTCTGGTCCACAGCGGGCGAGATTGATCGGCTGGTCGGCGATGCCAGTGGGTCTAATCCTTCCTCTTATGCATCGTGTATACAAACGGCTACCGTCGAAGCCACAAGAATCCAAGTGTCGGTGATTGCCGTGCATGAAACATCTACTGAGGTGGTGTTGTGTTCAATCCGCGTTGCCGGCTAGGTCGCCCTCAACAGACATTGGCTTTCGTTCAACACATCCATCCAGACATCGTGTGCGTATGTCCGCGGGCGGAGGTGTTGGATGATCGGGTGGATACGGACGCTGACAAACGCCTCTGAACTGATTAGCCGCCTTGGAAAGCATATGGGGTGGAAAGCACGCACTTACGAGCTCATTGTGGGTATCAACCAAGACGGACCAAGGCGCCAATGTTGGGGATAAGACCCATTTATACGTCTTGTAATCACAACAACTGATTCAAGCCGTGCGGAGAAATGAGACCCGGGGTACGAGGTTCACATGTCACTCTGACAGGACGCCTGAAGGGTCCAGTACGGTTATCCGGATCTAAGTTGTGGGGAGAGTGTGACTGGACGTTAGATCTGGGGTGATGGGAGAATGTCGGTGTGTTGGCGGCAAATGAGATGGCGAGATGTCTTTAAGCGGCCCCGAGGCAGTTAGGCGATGAAGCAGGTGTTGATATTGTGCCGTGGCCCCGACGGAATTGACGACCAGGGAGTAGGCGCGATGGAGTGAAGGACAATCTAAGGCAGGAGCGATAACATCATGGCTGCGCAACAGTGCGCGATGATCAGCACAACGCGCCTTCAGTTTCAGTTCAGAACGTAAGTAACTATGGTTGGTTTTTCTATACCTGCACTGCCTTGGTATCGAATTGACTGCAGAAATGTTGGCACACCGATGTCGTGCCATCCTGTCGACATCGTAGCCGGATTCCCGGAAAAGGCAACCGCGGGCCCTCTATGCCGAG